ATTTCCAAGTGTTTTGGTATTTATATTTCTTTGTTATTGAAATTGATAATCTGATGATGATGGAAATTAATGTTTTAACGCCAAACACAGGAACTGCATCTTCTAAGTAGAACAATTTGGAACATATGTTTGAAAAATTAGATTTATTGGGGAACATTTTTGTTTATGTTGTTGGAGCTGTTGCCCTTAGAATGATTGAAAATAGTAACAACATTGTTATATTACTTTTTCGATATTACGTTATCACAAATTGAATCTGTGATAACGAATTATACAATTCGTGATAATTAACGATTTGAATTTGTGATCTCGAATTCAAATTATATTTTTGGAAGGTCCTAAATGGGCTTCCGTAAAATAGTGTGGTTTTATCAGTACACATGTTGTTTACCGATAGACTGTTTCGAAATACAAGTGTTTGTCGTTTTACAGCACTGTTTTTAACAGGTAACAATTGTCATGATTGTAACATTATGTTCAGTTATTTACCCATTAAAAAAAAAAAGCACACACACATAAAGTATCCATAGACTATATTTGCAACGTACTACAATGTAATACATAAGTGTATATTCATCATTTATAAATATTCACTACTATGCACATCGTTCTTTGTATAACATACAGTTTGAAGGTGGAACGACGCATAGTACACCATGTACACACATGAACAGGTGAAAGAAAAAGATTACAAAAGCTTTAACATGTTTAATTAAAAATAAAATAAACATATCAGTAAGAAATTACAATGAGATAACTGTTTATATATTTAACAAACGTTGCAAGTTCATAAGGTACATGTAGATCGTAAGATCGTACATGTAGGTAGATTTATTTTAGTTACAACTACGCGCACACGGTTAAAATATAAAGTGTGTAAAAATCAAAGTGGTTTTCAAAGTTCGTTTCAAGTGAGTATCATTTACAAAATTCCATTTCTAACATAGACTAATATCTTGAAAAAAATATATATTTCGAAATTTAACAAATGTATGTTTGGTACAAGGAAGTAGTTACACATGTTACAATAAACCTGTAAATTTAGAAATGTATTTGGGTGCATTTATAATAAATGTTTTCATATTACCGACTTTTGACTCCGGATTATATAATTTTTCGACAGGTTACCTACTTTGTGGTAGGACATCCTGGTACTCGGTCAAGTAAGAGCAACCAAAAGAAGTAAAATCAAATATATAATCGGTGCAATTTGGGGGGAAAGTTTAATTTCCTTCGATGATTTTGTCGCGTGTATAGAAAACATAAAACAGTTAATGTTCCCCCCAAAAATTGTACCGATTGAAAGCTTTGTTTTAAATCTTTACGTTGCTCTTACTTGACCGAGTACCAGGATGTCCTACCACAGAGTAGGTATCCTGTCGAATATAAAAATAGGTTATTGCGATAGTTGAACAACGGACAGAAATGCAATATCAATCATTTCGACTGTAGGAAATGCTGCATACGAATAATGCCATCATACTCAAAGTACGAGTTTATATCTTTATGACCTATATCGTCACAATTTTTGCAACATAGAATATCTCATAAATTTCTGAATTTACACTTTTTACTGCACTCTGTATAGGTCACTCTGTAAATATGGCTGGGCCATGCAAAAACCAACCCTCTTATTTTTCTACTGGCTCCCAGATATGCATGATATGAAAATACGGAGTTCCGGTATGATTGGCAATGAGACAACTATCCACGAGTGTTCAAAATACGTGTTTGTAAGAAATTATAGGTCTACAATGAGAAAAACCCATACCATATAGTCAGCTATAAAAGGTCCAGACATGTAGCTCAATTCGTATTGCTCATGGTCAGTACAAATTCGGAGGAAAGTGCTGTTCGCTGATGTCAGATTCAAGGAAAAGAGGAAGGAATTGTGGCTACGACAATAACAGTTTATATGTGAAAATGCATCTTACGCATCTGGTTCAATAACATTTTGTTACGTTTTCTATATTTTTATTTTTGGAAATATTTTATAGATTCTATTTTATTTCAGACAGGTGTTTTATTGTATGGTTTTCATTTACAAATAGTTTGTCCTGTACCAACTCAGGAATATGGCAGTTGTTATCAAATAGTTCGTTTCTATGTATGTTTGCGTTTGTTTTAGTTTTTGTTTTTGTTGCACTTCAGTGTTACTGTTTTTCCTTTGTTTTCCTCTTATAGTTGATGTGTTTCCCTCGGTTTTAGTTTGTAACCAGGATTTGTTTTCTCTCAATTGATTTATGACTTTTGAACAGCGGTATACTACTGTTGCCTTTATTTGTTTAATGATAAGTTGCTTGACAAATTGTTAGTAAAAAAAAGTTGTCCTACTTGAAAACAAAATTTGTTCGATTTTTGTCTTCTGGGACAAAACTCATAGAGGTGTCAAACATCTGAACGCTTTTATGAAAATCATGGCCACTTCAAGATCATTTTGTATTTGTACTAGATTTTTAAGTCCTATTGAATATAATTTTCAATGGCAACCATTGTAACTATAATGCAATTTTTATTTTGTATGAAATGCAATTAAAAAAGAAAATAAAAAGATGTGATGGGATTGCCAATGAGGCAACTCTCCACAAGAGACCAAATGCAACCAAAAGTCTGCTTTTATTCATTTTTAAGTTTTGTAAATGATGGATCTGAATTTGGAGAAACTCAAGGAACTGAGAAATACCATAAAACCGATTCCACTACCAGAGTTTGAAGGGGTACGATTTCCAGCTTTCAATCGTATCAGAGAAAAGGGGATAGAGAAAGCTTTACAAGACATTAGGGAAATGCAGTCAAGAAAATCAAATTTTATGATCTGCACATATCCAAAATCAGGTAGTATTATTAATGCACCATATTTTGATTCATTATTATAAGTTGGGTAAAAATTTTCGTGGATTTCATGGGTACAGGAGAACCACGAATTTAAATGTTCAACAAATTGCAAATGCAAAGAAATGTATCAGGAGTATGTTAAAACCCGAAATCAAATATCCACAAAAATTCAAGTTTTCCGTAATCCACGAAAATTGGTACCCACGAAATCAAATGAATCAACATTTAAGAAAACAGCTTTTAATATGTTAAATCAAAGCTTTTCCCGATCATCTGAAAATCACATACTATTATTTGCCTATCATACATGTATATGTCATAAGTTAAATTCACTTCGTCTTTATTTCCGTTTTTTGTAATTTTAAGGCATTTTTTCTTCCTTCTTTGTTTTTGCCCATCATTCTCTTTTCTGTATCTTAATGACCTATTTTACTGTATTAGTTAGTTTTAGCCCACTTGTCCCTATTTAGTAAACTTCATTATGCATATATCTCCCAAAAGATTATGCTAACATATTATACACAATAAAATCGTTTACGTTAACTTTATACATTCAATGCAATTTTTAGAATGCACAGTTTCATTTCTTCTGCTAGAATACTGTCATAACTGATTGTTAATCATCAAATCGATAACATGCGGATGTTATTTACACTGTTGAAAAAGTCTCGCATTAAAACAAATTACACGCATTATTTCATAAAACACTAGTACGACAATTGTGTGAGCACAATATAAAAACGTTATAAATGTGAGTATGCGTTCGAGAATTATACAATAATATAAACGGTCCTAATTTACTGCACCAGATGCGCATTTCGATAATGTATGTCTCTTCAGTGATGCTCGAAGCCAAAATATTCGAAAATCCAAAACCTAATACAACATTGAAAAGCTGATCCACCGAAACGACCTAAAGTATAGCCAAAACCGGACAGGGAATCAAGGCTTTACATGAGCATGATGAGGGAGATATATTCCTTAATTTTGAATGATTTCTAAAATTGCATAACAGTAAATTTCAATCAAAACAATATTAATATCCGTATTTTCATACCAGTACCGAAGTATTGGCTACTGGTAATACCCTCGGGGACTAACAGCAGTGATAGTAATAATATAAACAGCACCAATTTTGCTGCACCAGTGTCAGATGCGCATTTCACCGTGCAAAATTGATTTAAAAAAAGTATTGATCTTTTTACGCACGTATTTATAGCAGTACGTACCTGGTTTCTAATTATCTATCAAATATCACAATTTTCTGACCACTTAAATATTACAGTTATTATCCACCAATATTCATTATAATTGTTTATTTTTTATTTAGAAGAAGTTGAATAGTATTTGTCAGTAGTCAGTCACCTAACAACTAAACAAAACACAAAAGAAATTTAGAGAACAAATATCCGTCTGTAACCATGGTAACAATCAAAAATTAAATTGTGTAAATTATTTATAAGGCTCTAAATTAATACACCCAGTTCTAGACAAGATGTGAATAAAATCAAAATAGGCTACCAAAAAATCAAACGTCAGCACCAATTCGCCATTTCAGAATCTAAAGCATTCTGGGTAATATTTTCAAAAGTGTACACCAAAACGCTGTGATTGGCTAACAACGTCCAAAACAATTGAAATTCACATATCATGGAATGACGTGACGTTGTTTTCATTTTGGGATACGAACAATGAAATTACCTAGAATGCATTAGATTCTGAAACGGCGAATTTCTCATGACAAACTCTCTAAGATATAACTAAACACGACACATGACGAGCTTCCGGACTTGGGAAAGTTCACAATTGTCTTAATAACTGCCCGGTTAACGAAAACGGTCGATTCCTATTATACGAATTGAATTTAATAACACCTGTATTCATAGTTGTTAATTTTCCAGTGTTTTTTTTCTCTCCAAAGGAACGCATTGGGTTAATGAAGTTACCAATATGTTAATAAGAAATAAAACAGAACTGGATACCGTTACCAAAGTTTCGACGATGTTAGAAGTTATTCCTGATCTCTCAGTCTTAGATGCACTGCCATCACCAAGGTTACTTAATACTCATTATTCATTTAAATATCTACCAAAGAAGCATATCGAAAATAGATGCAAGATTATTCATATTATTAGAAACCCGAAAGATGTCTGTGTCTCGTTTTTTTATCACGCAAAGAGTGACCCCGTTCTGGACTTTACTGGATCCTGGGATGATTTTTCGAAATGTGGATGTCAGACAAATGTAAGTTACCAACATACAAAATCTGGAAAAAGAAACACAATCTTGAGATGTTAAGGTATTTAGACTAAATAATTGATTGTGTATCTAGTATATAAAATGTGATTAAAAAGATGAAACATTGGAGTAAAATTTAATTTGTAATTTTCAGATTTAATTTTCATTAAAATTTACCATATGTTTCCCTAGAAAAATGTAAAATGTCACAGCACAAGGCTCCTGAAGTCTGCTTTTCTGGGCTGCTTAGTGATATGGTATAACAGATTCATAAACGATTTATCAAATAACATTAAAAAAAGAAACACATAGTCTGGACATTTTTTTCAAAATATCCATATTTTTTTTTACATTTAAAGAAAGAAAATCAAAATGTAAGTATTGAGTCGTCTGGGAGAGCAAGAATTATGATGTCTTAGCTACAATCACACCAAAAGTTTTGATGGCAATATTTAAACCGCCAATGTTTAAAATATTTTAATTTAAGCCATGTCATGAACCGTGGATAACGAATGACAGTATCGTTCGACAGTTTAACAAGTTGTAAAATGTAGTTAGATTAATAAAAATACACTTTTATATATCCTCTTTATACATCTATACCTTGCAGATTATTGTGATTGATTGTGGTTTTAATTAGCAAATTGTATACACATTCTTACTTTTTATGCTCATACCGCTAGGCGAAGGGGGCATTAAATGTTACCCTTGACCGTCCGTCCCTCTGTCCGTCCTTCCAAAAAATGTTTTCACATATTATATTAAGCAAGCTTGAGCGGGGGCATTCGTGTCCTTAGACATATTCTTTTTTTATTTAGAAATAGAGTCTTCTGAAAATTTATCCATGAAGTGCACCTCACATTTGTTTAAAATACCCGAGGAAGCATCAAACGTCTGTTATATGTAAAGATAACTTGTTATCAGCTTCCGAGACATATTACACGAAGCGCCTCATATTATGACACTATTTATACATTGGCAGAAAAGACAAGCAAGGAATGCCTTGATATTACCATGATGGCAACGGACCTTGGTCATATTATTGAAGTAGATACATTTTCTACAAATTAAAAAAAAAAAAAACAAACAAAAAAAAACTTTCTGGTTTTTTATATAGATTAGACCGTTGGTTTTCCCGTTTGAATGGTTTTACACTAGTAATTTTTGGGGCCCATAATAGCTTACTGTTCGGTGTGAGCCAAGGCTCCGTGTTGAAGACCGCACTTTGACCTATAATGGTTTACTTTTATAAATTTTGACTTGGATGTAGAGTTGTCTCATTGGCACTCATACCACATCTTCTTATATCTATATGAGAACTTAAAATAAAGTTTATATATCAAAGAAATGTAACCTTATGAAAATGTTGTTTACAAGGTCCTCACGCCCCCGTCCGTCACATTCTGTTTATATTTCAAATTCACTTTAATTTGAAGAATATCATCCTATGTGGTATTAAGTCGGAAATTCAACATGTCAGATTTTACTTGACGTATTGTCGTGGAACAAAGGGCAAAGGGCTGTTAGGGTTATGTGTTGGGTTGTTGTTGTTGTTTTTGAGGGGTTTTTTTTGGTGGTGGTTGGGGGGGGGGGGGGGGGGGGGGGGGGGGAGGGTGGGAGTTTAAGGAAAATAACAAACTTTCCCTGAGTTATGTCATTATTATAATTTAACCGGAAAGTCCAAAATAGTTTTAACTTATCTATATCGACCTTTTTCACAATTGGAACTCTACTTAAAGAAATATAATTCAGCATAGGCAGTTACTTCAGAAATTGTTGTGAATAAACATATCAAAATAAGAATAGTCGTGATACTAGGACGTGGTAAGGAGGAAGTTTTGGGCGCCCTCTAACATTTTTTAACCCCGCCACATTCTGTATGTGTCTGTCCCAAGTCAGGAGCCTGTAATTCAGTGGTTGTCGTTTGTCGCTGTATATCAAATTTGTATTTCGTTCATTGTTTTTTTTTTACATAAATCAGGCCGTTAGTTTTCTCGTTTGAATTGTTTTACATTTGTCATTTCGGGGCCTTTTATATGTGACTATACGGTATGGGCTTTGCTCATTGTTGAAGACCGCACTTTGACCTATAATGGTTTACTTTTATAAATTTTGACTTGGATGTAGAGTTGTCTCATTGGCACTCATACCACATCTTCTTATATCTATATGAGAACTTAAAATAAAGTTTATATATCAAAGAAATGTAACCTTATGAAAATGTTGTTTACAAGGTCCTCACGCCCCCGTCCGTCACATTCTGTTTATATTTCAAATTCACTTTAATTTGAAGAATATCATCCTATGTGGTATTAAGTCGGAAATTCAACATGTCAGATTTTACTTGACGTATTGTCGTGGAACAAAGGGCAAAGGGCTGTTAGGGTTATGTGTTGGGTTGTTGTTGTTGTTTTTGAGGGGTTTTTTTTGGTGGTGGTTGGGGGGGGGGGGGGGGGGAGGGTGGGAGTTTAAGGAAAATAACAAACTTTCCCTGAGTTATGTCATTATTATAATTTAACCGGAAAGTCCAAAATAGTTTTAACTTATCTATATCGACCTTTTTCACAATTGGAACTCTACTTAAAGAAATATAATTCAGCATAGGCAGTTACTTCAGAAATTGTTGTGAATAAACATATCAAAATAAGAATAGTCGTGATACTAGGACGTGGTAAGGAGGAAGTTTTGGGCGCCCTCTAACATTTTTTAACCCCGCCACATTCTGTATGTGTCTGTCCCAAGTCAGGAGCCTGTAATTCAGTGGTTGTCGTTTGTCGCTGTATATCAAATTTGTATTTCGTTCATTGTTTTTTTTTTACATAAATCAGGCCGTTAGTTTTCTCGTTTGAATTGTTTTACATTTGTCATTTCGGGGCCTTTTATATGTGACTATACGGTATGGGCTTTGCTCATTGTTGAAGGCCGTACGATGACCTATAGTTGTTAACTTCCATGTCATTTGGTCTTCAGAAATTGTTGTGAATAAACATATCAAAATAAGAATAGTCGTGATACTAGGACGTGGTAAGGAGGAAGTTTTGGGCGCCCTCTAACATTTTTTAACCCCGCCACATTCTGTATGTGTCTGTCCCAAGTCAGGAGCCTGTAATTCAGTGGTTGTCGTTTGTCGCTGTATATCAAATTTGTATTTCGTTCATTGTTTTTTTTTTACATAAATCAGGCCGTTAGTTTTCTCGTTTGAATTGTTTTACATTTGTCATTTCGGGGCCTTTTATATGTGACTATACGGTATGGGCTTTGCTCATTGTTGAAGGCCGTACGATGACCTATAGTTGTTAACTTCCATGTCATTTGGTCTCTGGTATATAGTTTCCTCATTGACAATTATACCACATCTTCTTACTTTTATACGCCTATTCTATCTATGTGTTGTACATTTTCCAGTACGTCTACAAAAATATATTAGATTTTTTTTTATTTTGTAGAACATGTCTTCTTATTTTGTTTTCCTTATTTTTAGATATTTTCTCATTTCTATGTAAGAATATTTTTGATTCTTACAAAACAATGTATCAGTAGATTTAATTTGTTATAATTCTGTTCTTCACTTGTAGGTCCCTATGGATCATGGTACAATTATGAGAAAGAAATGGAACAAGCAGAGAAAGATTTTCCCGGCATGATATTTACTTGCTATTTCGAAGAAATGAAAAAGGTTGCACCTTTTTGACACAATGCAATCACTTCAATTATGTGCATTTTTTTTTCTCTCAATATTATAGACAATTTTTTTTTACATCCAGTTACTGCAGCTGCTCTTATTTATAAGTCAAGCAGGTGATTAAACACAATTTACACCGCCAGAGGACTATTTTTTTTTGCTTTACAAACAGATTTATCAGAACGATGTGGTTTGATTGTCAATGTAATAAGTATACACCAGAAACAAAATGACGTTTTATTTGAAATGACTGTTTAATTGATATTATTCGACAGCAAAACATGGACTTTACACAGGTAAGGTAACGTGGTATAATGTGTTAGCTCTAATGAAGTTTAATTTTATTCTATTAAGGATGATACAGGAGAGATACAGCGATTGGCTAACTTCTTAGGGATACCGTGCACCGAAAAGACCATAGAAAATATTGCTGAAACAACATCCTTTAATCATATGCAGAAAAATAAACTAGATATGACGGAAGTAATTTCTGGAAAAGGCTTCATATATAGAAAGGGTAATATAATTTAAATACGACACATGTTAAAGTTATACATTAACCAAACTCCATACAGTAATTACTAATTTATTTTAAATGCAAATCAATAGAGCAGATGGATTGTTACTACTCTGTGCTGAGATGAAAATTTGGGAGTTGGTAAATGGAAAACTAAAATCGTCACATTTATATTAAATCCCAGTTTGAGGTCGTCCATATTTGTCAATTTCAAGACAAAGATCTAAATACACAAAAAGGTATTATATTTTCAATAGTATCCCTAATGTCAAGCGCACTGTGATGTATGATATATATGTGTACATGTATTTGCTGAAAAGAGGGTTATGGAGTAATAGGACATCATCTATATGTCTGAACGTGAATCTTAAAAACTTGCAAGATGCCTTTTCGTTTTGTCTTTATTTGAAAAATTATAATACGAATTCGGCTCTATATTAAATTAATCCTGCATTTGCCATCAGGGGAGCCAAGTAAGTACTTACTTGAATGCGGACTATTTGCTGAAATGTGAACCCATCAAACTTGTTTAACAGACCATTACATTAAAAACTACCAATACATAAATCAAAGGCACTGGCTACGGTTACATTGAAATGTAACAATAATAAAAAAAAAGTTATTGTTACATTGGAGACTAATTGCCGGAATGCAAGATTGGGTAAGGAACCGATTTATTAAGAATGTAACAATAATATTTGTGTCATCAGTTACGTTGTGTTATTGTTACGTTAATGCACTTCAATGTATGCTGGGACTAGTAATATCTATCAAAATAAAACTTGAAAACTTTTATTTGAATTTTACAATATTGCATACAATTTTTTAAATTTCTATTTACAATCATTATGACAGTTTCTACACACCCAGTATGTTGTTTTTGGAGCATGTTTCAGTCCGACGCATTTTTGGTGAAACCACTCTAGGCAGCCATCAAAAACGAGCGATGCAGCAATGTGAAGGTCTGTTTTGCAGACTTAACAATTCCACTCTGCAATATCACTTTTTCAAGTTATAGACACTTTCAATGTCTGCCATGCCTCAGGTCAAAAATAGTTTTCTTAACATCGAACCATTAAACTATATTTTTCGCCTTTGGCAATACTAAACTGTAGTAGTATCTTGAAGAACATTAAAACAATTAATACTTAAAACTATTTAAACACTATTTGTTGAATAATAATAATAATAAGAATAATAATGATAATATTATTATTAATATTATTGTTATCAAGTACATATCGAAGAATTAAGCAAAAAAACTATAGAAGGTTAAAGTTTAATAAATTTAACGTAACAATAACACAGCGTAACCGTTTACATGAATATTATTGTTACATTCGTAATTAGTCAGTTCCTTACACAACCCTGCATTCCGGTCATTAGTCTCAAATGTAACAATAACTTTTTTATTATTGTTACATTTCAATGTAACCATAGCCAGTGCCCAAATCAAAACTGTGACAACCACGAAGTTTATTTCAAAATTTTTATTTTTGATAACATTGTCCCAAAGACATTGATGTTTAATTAACAAATACATGCATTTAAAAATAAGTCAATTTTATTTCTCTATTGTCCATATCAAAAGGCACAACAATACCGAATTTCTTGCTTTTAATGTTTTAATACGCATTTTCTGTTTAAATGACAATCTTTATTAAGAACAGCTCAATAATAACTCTTCATACGACATTTCTTCAATTCATTTATTTAAATGGAAACATATCTGTCAAAGTTTGATATTAATGACATACAATGCAAAAAATAAGAGACAAAGGGCTTCTTGCTATAGTAAGTATCAGTCTGATTAAAACCATCCCCCGCTACCCACTATGCACTTATGCTTGTATGCGTAAGGGGATAGTGGGGGGGGGGGGGGGGGGTTAATCAGACTGAGTAAGTATTGATATCATTTTCTAATAATTACATAACATGTTTGTTTCACGAGAATCCGTTAGTTTGATTGGCTAACAACAATTGAGCGTCATTCAAGAATTAACCTTCATATCAAAATGAAATGTTACCTTCGTGATGACACGTTTGTAGAGAAAAAAGTGCACAGGTAAATAAAAAAAAAACTTGATAAAACTTTTTTGTCATGGTCTTATTAACATACAAAATTTAATCATAAGAAATGAATGCTTCGTTTTGTAATTCTATTGGGGTGTAAAAGTGTTGATATAACATAAACTGTACCAATTTTGCTGCAACAAATGCGCGATTCGGCAATCAATGTCTCTTCAGCTATTCCGCGCTTCATACACAATGTGCGACAGTCAACACTTTTTACACCCCAATAAAATTACAAAAAAAAAGCATTCATTTCTTAAATAATTCTGTTTCAGGGGAAATAGGAGACTGGAAAAACCATTTTACAGTAGCACAAAATGAGCGGTTTGATGTACAGTATACAGAAAGATTTAAGGACAGTTCATACAAACTTTCATTTGAACAAAGTATGTATTGTCTTCAAATATTATATTCACTATATTCAAATGTGTGCAACAGCTGTGCGCAAAGTGCTCCGAAGTTTAATGCAGATGCATTTTCTGTGCTCTCCAAACTTTATACAATTTTGAATTTCACAAATTGATCTGGAACGTAACTGATGAAGAATGAAATCCAAAATAATTGCAAATGCTTGAAAAAAATATAATTTTGTTTGCTCGACCTACAAGTTTAAAGCAGTGGTTTGGTTTACAGACTGAGATAACACAATCAGAGGCTGACTTTTTATCTTTTACCAATTCAAATGTCGAAAAACGGGAAATAAATAACATACTTTTTAACATGTACTTACATGAGCAACACGAGAAGTGCCCAATTTGGAACAGAATCTACTTACCCTTCTGGAGCAACTGATATCACCCCCAGTTTTTAGTTGAGTTCTTGTCGGTCAGTCTTTAGTTTTCTATGTTGTGTTTTTTATACTGTTGTTTGTCTTTTGATCTTTTTTCTTTTTTTTGCCATGTAGGTGACAGTTTGTTTTCGACTGACGAGTTTGAATGTCCCTTTGGTATCTTTTCGCTCTCTTTAACACAGGAAAAAAGTGCCTCGCATGTTTTACGCATGTAAAAAAAAAAGTGCGTTTTTTTTCCATTATGCGTATAACAGACGTTCAATAACATATGTTTAACATGAGTTATAAAACACACGAACAATATCGCGTGTATAAAACATGTGTTAGTTTATACGAATGTAAAATATATGTATTACGCATGTTTTTTTTCTCATTGTTTTCGTTTATGGTGTAATACCACCAAATCATAGAACGTCACATCCGGTTGCATACGAAAAAGGGTCGAAAAAAAATATTCCCTTGAATTTGACAGTTGTAGGAAATTAATCCTACATTTCATTGCAGTAAAAAAATTCTGAGTCATAAACATAAATCTTGGGTGTTTCAAAGCACCCTTATTGTTTTATTTGGTGTTTCTATAGAATATTTTGGAAACTTGAGGTTACATGGTTACACAGGAAGAAAAGGGGTGAACATTTGATTGGTTAACTTCCATTGATGGTTATTTTCTTATATGCAATGAAATGTTATGTGAAATTTTGTCTATAGTACTGAACAGGATAAAACTTTACTCATACCAAGTATTTCTTAATTTGAAACAAAGATAAATTCTGCACATTTTTTCGAAAAGTGCAAATATAACAAAGACTAATAGGGGGAAATCAATGGTGGTATTACACCTATTATGGGAAGCTGCACATGCACCTTTGACCTTGTGTGTACTCTCATTTGTGTAAATTTCATGCTATTTAAGTGAAATATTACAAAAATGAAATCTTCTGAGTGGATTGAGTCTCAAAATCACATTTTATGAGAAAACTGCTTTGAATAAGGACTCTACCATGAATATTAGTAGACAGAGCAAGCCATACTCCGTGTTTTGTGGAGCTTTTTCTGACTTTTTTTCCTTATTTCTTATATTTTCCTATAATAGAAAACTTTTCCCTAAGTGATACTTTAATAAATATATAGTAATTAGTAAATGAAATTATTAATAAATATATAGTAATTAGTAAATGAAATTATTTTTGATGCAGTAACAACAAATTATTCACTAAAAGAGAAGCTTTTTATGTCCCTCTCTGGAACGCGGCATAAATTTTAGTTTTACGTAAAGACTTATTGAAACCTTCATGGAGTCAGTAAACTATTATATGAATAGTTCATTCAGCTTGTCTGAATACTTCAATTACTTTATTATCACATTTCTCACATAAATGAGTGACAGTTACCCCAAATTTTTTATTTATTGGCCTAAAACGTTAAAATTTGGAGGAAATGGGAGGTATTAATGGATCAAACGAGACCTTGAAATGAAGACAAAGAGGTCCATTAATGGTATTTATCATCTTAGAGTCATCTTTTGTATCATATTCAACTGTATGTAGGCAGATAAAATAAATATTTGATCATTTATTGGTCAACACTCTATTCTATCATGATGCGGCTTGATTTGGATTTTTCGAAGAAATTTTGCTCGAATCGCTGTAGATGTCGTCTTACATTATACTAGGTTTTTCTCAAACTATTGCACTGTTTATGACAAAACTTGACAGTAATGCTTGAAATAAACAGTATTATAAAGGAAAAAATCACATTCAGTTTATTCAACAAAAAAGTCTTCTTTATATCAATTTTGTTTAAACGTTGAAGAATAAAATAAATGAATTGAGTATTCATATAGGAGTTCAATTTTCTTTTGAAATATGAATTTGAAATTACAATCTGTTTATATATGTATGAACAGAAGCAAATATTAGATTTAATGTACAAAAATTACAAAATGTAGAAATAAATTGAAGTCATCAGTTTAAGCTCTCACCAATTATGAATGTAGTGTTCATTTAGTAACTAACATCAGTCATGCTTTAAAAAAAATATAGGAATTGGACATAAGGATAAAACTAAAATTACAAAATGATTGATACCTAGTGGGTTCAACTAACTCTCTTTACTACACATTGTATTCAGTAATAATAACAGCATGAGTACAAATTCATGCGAAATAAATATAAAAAGACAAAAATTAATGCAAAATTGTTCAAGTCTAATGAAATAAAACCTTAAATGTATGAAAAATGCTATATTTCATCAAATCCTTGTTGAAAGCCATATGAAATATTGACCTATACTTGTTAACATCTATGAAAATGGACGTCACACTTAACTCCGAAACATATAATAGAACTAAAAAAAAACATAGTTTGTTCACGTTTCTTAAACATTTGATGATTAGACTAAAACAACATTACTGATTAGGGGCGCATTACATTTGCGCGCATTTTGGGATTAAAAATTTCTACGTTTGCGCGCAGTGTTTTTTTAATTTTAGTTCGTTTATATGTTTTGGAGTTTAGTGTGACGTCCATTTTCACTGAACTAGTACACAATTTTATTTAGGGGCCAGCTGAGGACCACTTCCTGGTGCGGGATTTTTTCGCTGCGTTGAAAACCCATTGGTGGCCTTCGGCTGTTGTCTGCTCTTTGGTCGGGTTGTTGTCTCTTTGACATATTCCTCATTTCCATTCGCAATTTTATATAACTTAATTGCGAATATTTCAGATTATATTCAAATGTGATTCCTAATTTTACCGCGAAAAGTGATCGCTTTAGTATTATTTCAGTCAGTTTGTAAAGTTGCGTCAAGGCACAAACATGGAGTTTCGTTTGTCAGAAACAAGTCGGAAGAAAAATCATTGGTGTGTGACGGATTTACTGTCCGTATCGACAGAACACTTAGGTCTAAGGATATTTCAAGGCGATGCACCGTAAATAATTGCAAAGGTATTTCAGCAGATTCCCTCGTTCCTCCTAGTCTTTGGGCATCACTTTACCATCAGCAGAATCTTTAAATTTGATATGTTTTTACATTTTGATCTGTTTATATTTCCAGGCCTAAGTAGATAGATATAAGAAGTACGATTTTGGTCATATGGTATATGTTTTTTTTTATGTTGTGCAAAGAATTTCAGAAAGTTATGTTGTTATCTTTTGAAACAAAAAATCCTAAAACAAAAGTATTCATTATTATTCAAGTAGAACTAGTTTTATATTTTTTCTGCAGTCATTTTCTTATAAGATGACAAATGTCTCTAGCATAGTCAAAGTAATTTGGTTTCTGAATTTTAAGACGTCAATGCTGTTGTGGAATAAAAATTAACATGTGCTGTCTCATTTACAAATGACTATATGTTAATCCTTAATATCTCAAGTCATTATTCATTGGTCTTTATGTTATGAATTAGAATGTGCCAAGTCTTTTATATCACAAGATTTAAATGATATTGTTTTTTAAACTTTGAGTTCATATACCCTTATGGTATATGTAATTCAAAATCTTATAGGCTTTAAGACATTTGTGTTCGATTTGATTTGATTTGTTTCTTTTTAATTTTTCGATGATTGAAAATTTTGTTATAGATAATGGATTACAAAACTCGAAGTTATGAGAAAATGGACTAAAACAAATCTCACCATACGAAGTAACAAATGTATTTTTGCTTTTTCCTCAACTCTGGTGTATGTTCATGAATCAGTTGGTGGTACTCCTTAATGCTTTATATTACACGAGCAATGTCATCTCCAAATGATGTGTTATTTAACTGCTTCTGAATCTAAATTATCATTTCGATGTAATCGTTTGAAAATCTAAAAAGAATAAAACATTCCTTTGTAAACAAAATTACTAAACGAGTTATCTTCCCTTAAATGGCTGAGTTGAAAAATTGAATGTAATCATAACAAATATTTGATATTTGTTTAAACAGTCTAAATAATGCAATATATCACTTATTTTTCTTTATTTATAGATAAACAGTCTTACTTGCCAATCTATTTTAAAAACATGCAGGTTTAAGCAAAGAACTAAACCGAATATGCGACCGTGTGAGACCCTCATGGGTAGTCAAGGTCGTTAAAAAACCCATAGTAGTAGTAGACTGATTGTGTACTATTTAACAATCCAAGATGGCGGTATACAGTTAATCTACCTTAAAGGAAATTACATTTAAAATGACAAGTCATTGCTGATAAAAAATATATTAAGCAGAAAACATACAAATGTAAATCTGTTTTAGGAGTATTTAAGAATTAAAAGCTTCTTGTAATTTTATAAGTGTATAAAAGTGTCAAAAGATTCAAGAAACCTTTTAGCTACTAATAAGCATAAGTAGTAATGCATTCTTTCATATATAATTTTTTGTTTTTCAGTAAAAGAAACCTGAATTCCTCAAAGTGATGGAAAAAAGATGAAATAATTATATGATAATGACTGTTTCCAAAAAATTAATTTTACATATATATTTTATATATATATATATATATAGCAATAAATTTACAGCATTAAGAAAGATGCCTCATTTATTTGTTCACGTCACATATTATACCCCAACTCTAAAATTGGGGCCAATCACTTGTCTGTATGTCCATTTAATTGTCCAAAAAGTATTTCCTTCAGATTTTTCTCACAACTGCTTAACAGTTCGATTTCATATTTGGTCAGAAATTCTATTGGCCCAAGTTTTAAAGTTTTGAATATGATTATTAAATTGATAATTATCAAACATGACGCCAATACATCTGAACAAAATGACTTCATATTAGGTCAGCTGCTCAACAGTGATCAGTTGCAAAATCAAATGACAGATTTGTTTTTATTTTTATACTGGCATAAACAGAAATACAAGTATCCTTTATAAAACAGATGAAAAACCTAGTCTGGTCTGTAATTTGATACTGACATTGCCATCAAAAGGAGATTTTTGGTCAGTATATATATAACGTAAAGAGATTTAGTATTATTGCCAATGAGACAATTATCCAACAGATTCCAAAAGAAGCGGATTTCAGCAATTATATGTCACTCTACGGCCTTCAACAATGAACAAAACCAATGTTAGTTGTATGGAAAATATGAGTATGAACTAGTTAACATGACAAATAGGTTTAATGAATGATTTAGTAAAACATTTTTCGATTAGTTTGAAACATGTATTATACGCATATTTGTTACATACATCTACATGTTTTACGCCAATTTTTGAAACGTATATTATACGCATATTAGCTACAAACGCATGTTTAATGAATGGTTTTAAAACATGCGTACATCACATATTTTACATGCCTAAACGCATGAATAATACACATGTATTTTGCATGCGTAAAACGCACGAATAACGCATGTTTAAATCGTGCGTTTTACATACGGGGTAAGAAATATGCATTTCCCATGCGTCTCCAAACTCATGTTTTACGTATGTGAACCATGCGTGGCACTTTTTCCTGTTTACAATGTGCGAAAATACGTATTAATACATATTAAGCATCTGATATGAAGCAACAGTAATACTATCCACCAGAGTTCAAAGGTCACTAAAGGTAACCGTTCGGCCTTCAACAATGAGCAAAACCAAGACCGTACAGTAAGTTGTCAAAGACCCAAAACTGCATATATATATGTATACATATATGCTAAAAACAAACGAAAAACAAATATCACAGACAGCTACGATGGACAACAACTGAGTTAAAAGCTCCCGATTAGGGACAAGCACATACAGAATGCGCAGGGTTTAACATGTTTGCATAATTATCCGATTTGTAGATATTCACTCGTGTAGAGCAGGATCTGCTAACCCTTCCGATTTATAAGTTTTGAAGTGTATTCTGCCTTTTTTTATATCATGTTATGGTATACTCGCAACACAGTTCAAAAATGAAATAGCAACTTTGGCATTTTATAGGCTCTTAGTCTAACATACAGTTCTGACCAGTCCCTTTTATTTAGTGCACGTGTGGTGCTTTCTATTCCAGTGCACGTCTGCTGTTTGTTGTATCGCATCTTTGTAATGCAAATTGCCTTCGGTTTCAGAAGAACTCGCTAAGTCTTATGAAACCCCGGTTAAAAAATCTCTAATGCAGTATGATTGCCAATGAGACAACTCTCCATCAGAGACTAAAATAAAGTAGAAGGTTAGCAACTATAGGTAACTGTACGGTCTTCAACAATGAGCAAAACCAATACCGCATTGTCAGCTTTAAAAGGCCTCGAAATGACAAATGTAAAGCAATTCAAACGAGAAAACTAACGGGCTGATTTATGTTCAAAACAATAAACGAAAAAACAAATATGATATAAGCAACAAACGACAATCACTGAATTACAGGCTTCTGACTTTAGACGGGCACATACAGAATGTAGCGAGGTTAAGCATTTTAACATGCGCCCAAAATCTAAATTAGGATGTTTCGTTTTATCTTTATTTTTCTTATTTTTTTTTGTAACCAGATGTGCTGATTGCATTCCATACACTGTATACAGATCATGAACACGAATTATAACGACATTTATGTTCTTACAACTTAAACTATTAACATTATTTTGCATCCACATTTCTAGTACACATGTTTTTCCTTAATATGGGATAAACCTGAAATAAAATAAATCATGACAAATGGAGATGGGAATCTTACACATTAATTTTATATGCCTTAGGGTCTTAAATATAGATTTCACCACTGCAACAAGTGTGTTACGATATTTCGCCACTCGAGACAGTTAAATTTTAATATTTAAAGCGCGAGGCTTGCCGAGCTTTTTAAATAATCAAAATTTAACTGTTGAGAGTGGAGAAATATCGTAATAAACGAGGAATAGTGGTGGAATCTGTTTCTCTAATGATTTTTATCCTTCCTTTTCAAAGATTTCCAGAAAGTTGTGTTCTTTATATGTGACGTCATCAGGTATGGTCGCCTTTTTTCATGACGTCACAATAGGAAAATTCAGAAGAAACAAAGAAAATTTGACGTCATAATTAAATTTCGACCAACCATTTGCCGAGAACAGACATTTCACTAATGAGGAGAAATATTTTTCTCACACTGATCAAGTATGTGAAAATAGCACAAAAATATGAGAAACTAAGTCTCATGTTATTTAGATAGATGGTATTGTCATTTCTGCTTTTATTCTCCAATCTTGTTGTTTTTCACGTGAAAAAGTCTTCCACACTCTTGGAATTTCGCGATCTTCCTAACTTAAATGAGCGTGAATTGTATCTATCATTAAACGTCATGTCCCAAATATTTTTAAGATTTTCAAGGGTAGGTGTCTTAATTAAACTTTACATTGAAGTAAGATGTGGATCCAGGATTTTGAAAGGGGGGACTTAAAAAGCCCGCTACATGTACATGCCGTGACATTTGTTGTTTTTCCTGCTTAAAAAAGCAGCGACAGATACCAAAGGGACAATTATTCCTCCTATATTTCAATCTCTCCTGGGCCATATTCTTTAATCAAATCTGTTACTTTCATAATTTGATCATGTTGATTGCATAGCATTTCTGGTAAATTTGTCCTTTTTAGATCCTTCCTGTCATTTCTCACATCTTTTGGACAACCAATTCTACACTTGCAAACTGTGTGATTTTTGTGTTATTGTCATACGTGTATACTGCAATGTAAAAGGGGTTTGTAAACGGATATTCCATTATTTTTTTGTATCATGAAATTATACATTGGGAGCTCAACCGTTTTCGTTACTGATAGAGAGTGTTCAGCCTGTGCTTTCGCCCAAGGTTTTTAGAAAAACATACTGATAATCCACCAATATAACACAAAACAGGTGACAGAAACCTAGTAATTGCAAGAGGTCACGACGATTGCGCTAAACCAATGACAGGTGTCAGAAACCTAAAAATGCCAAGCAATGCATTCGCACATACGTATCAAATAACCAAGATTGATAAACAGTTTCATATTTAATAGACAAAGACATTAATGCACAAACATCACAGTATTTTTGATGAAATTATATACCGTGACTATTCAATACATTTTCGCACCTAACCTTATAGGATAAAAATGGGCGATGCATTAGCAATGAAAAACCCTTAATAAATCAACCAAGTAAAATGAAAAAAGTACTTAGCCTCAGTTCTATACGTTTTTTAGCTCACCTGGCCCAAAGGGCCAAGTGAGTTTTTTTCATCACTTAGCGTCCGTCGGCTGTCGTCCGTTGTCGTTTAACTTTTACAAAAATAGTCTCCTCTATAAATACTGGACCAAATTTAACCACACTTGGCCACAATCATCATTAGGGTATTTAGTTTCAAAAACTTGAACGATGACCCCGCCTGACAACCAATATGGCCGACATGGCTATGAATAGAATATGAGGGTAAAATGCTAGTTTTGTCTAATATTTTTATAAACTTTAATGCATAGAGAAAATCTGACAAGGACAGTTTGTTGAGCTCTACCAATTGTCTAATTACTTCAAATAAGAGTTGTTACCCATAACTGACAAATTTTACCATTTTTTTTATTCATTTTTGCCTATAACCTTGAAAACTATAATAGATAGAGAGAATTCAAAATGCAAATATGATCATCAAGACAAGATTTACAAATAAGTTTTGCGTTTTTGTCTTATATCTTAAATATTATAATAGACATATAGAAACTTAAATCAGCAAACATGATCAACAAGACAAGATCTACAATTAAGACAATATAGAGGAAATTGTCCGAGGACTCCATATTGGAGTTATTGCCCTTTAATGTCAAATTTTACCAATTTGTATGCGTTTTGCCTTATATGATAACAATTATAATAAATAAATAGAAACTTTAAATAACAAATATGATCAGCAAGGTAAGATATACAAACAAGTCAAATTTTGCCGATTAAGTTAGTAGACTGCCACTCCTTATTGGAGTGATTGACGGTAAATGAGGATTTGTTTACCCTCTTTTGTGTTTTGAGCAAAAGAAATTAAAGAGAAACTGCACAAACCACACCATCGCCAATACAGCAATACAAGATCAACATAAAAGTAATTTTTGTCATGAATTCTATTCTCGTCTACAATGAGAGCGTCGTTTGCTGAATATGTACATAGACCTAGGTGAGCGACACAGGCTCTTTAAAGCCTCTAGTTTTTTTTTAAATACTAATTTTAAACACTAGAAAGTTTAGATGTAACCGATTACTCAAATATCAAAAACTGCATACTAGTCGTTCTAAAAAAAATTCAACTTTAATAAATCAAGTTCAAGGCGTCTCACATTCCGACTTTCTAAAAAAAAATACATCAAGTGGTTTCCACTCATATGAACTGCGTTATTTCATTCACCAGGGACCAAAGTAAGTCGTGTAAAAATATCGCAATAT